ATATTAATAGAAAACTAGAAAATCAGGCCAATGAGATGTCTCATTCTGTAAAGGCAGTTACCACTAACCCTGACAACCTAAGTTCAATCCCTGAGGCCCACCAGCAGAAATTGAGGACCAATCCCTGTGAGCTATCTTTTAACACACACACACACACACACACACACACACACACACACACAAAAATAAATAAATAAATAAATAAATAAATAATGAAAATAAATAAATAAATAAAAATGCAATAAGACTATTAAAAATGAATTATTTGATATCCAAGTGTGTTTTCCAAATAGATCAGTGCTTCTCAACCTTCCTAATACTGCAACCCTTTAATACAGCTCCTCATGTTGTGGTGACCCCCAACCATAAAATTATTTCATTGCTACTTCATAACTGTAATTTTGCTACTGTTATGAATCATCATGTAAATATCTGATATGCCACCCCGTGAACGGGTCATTCGATCCCAAAGGAGTCGCGACCCTCAAGTTGAGAATTACTGAAATAGAGGGAAAGGACTTTTGCTGTCTCATAAGTTTCAGAACCAGAGACGCCATGCTTATATTATCATGCAGCTTAACTGTGTTAGTCACTTCCTGTGTCTAATCTACTCCACGGATAAACTGGATCTCCAACACCCAGGAAGTATGTGGATAAGCTCTGTGTTGCCCTGATTCACTGTGAAGGAATAATTTGAATACTGATTAGTGTTTCTGAAGTAGAACAAACAGGAAATACACGGTGGCTGACTGACCCTGTGTGTGATAGTAATAAGCACACCATGGCATGATCGTAAAGAATAACACTATGCAGCCCTTTCATCTCGACAAGTTAATGAGAATCAATCTTTACCTTACTCCATGTAGAAGGATGTTTTCAAGATTTAAGTCAAGTGCATGTGTGTATGAACAAGTGTGTGGGTGTCTGTGGAGGTCAAAAGAGGGCATCGGACCCCCTGGAGCCCTGTGGATACCTTAACTTTGGCTTCCAGAACTGTAAGAAAAAAAATCCATTTCAGAGGCTTTGGTCACCCAATCTGTGACAATTTGTTATGGTAGCCACAGGAGACTTCACAGGGAGCCATAAGAGCTCACTTGCAAGGACTTACCTCTGCTGCAACAGTGTGAAAGCGGAGATAGACAACATGTAAGCGAACAGGCTTGATTTTGTTCCCATAGCAACAAGTCACAAAACAGTAGGTAAAAGCTACTCATGTGCCAAGCTGTATTTACATGTAGCAGTTCCTTTTTGGTTTATCAATCTGTATTCCTCCTTTTTGAAGGAGTTACCTGCCTTTATCCAGGAGGCACCTGACTGAGGATGGCTCACATCTCCATATATATTCTGAACAGTGAGGAGATGGGAAAGGAGAAAAGAGCAGATCCTTTTCCTTCAGAGAGGACACTAGGGAATTGTTTATACAATTTCCATTTCCATTTTTGATGGGAACCAAATAGCCACACTCACCTGAGAGGATCTTGAAAATGTAGTCCTTATTCTGGGTAGCAATATGTAGCACAAACAGATGAAATTTAATATGATCGAAGGAGACAGAGATGTGGGAAACTGAGCACACAATAAAACCAATGACATAACCTGTCATTTGAGAATGGTAGGAAAAACACTTATTAATATTTCACAAGTCAGATTTTGTCAAGACAATGTTTTCAATGCATTGCAGAGCAAAGATCAAACAGGCTGAAATTATAGCAGTTTGCAAGGCATTGGTTAGGGGCTGGAGGGATGGCTCAGTGGTTAAAAGCACATGTTGCTCTTGCCGAGGGCCCAAGTTCAGTTCTCATTATCTAAATATGGTGGCTCATAGCTAACTGAAACTCAAGTTCCAGAGGATCTGATGCCCTCTTCTGGCTTCTGTGGGCACCCATCCACATGTGAACATGTACATATCCCATCACATACACAATTAAAAATCAAATTAATCTTAAAAATGTAAATAACTGGTGAGCTGTGACACCAGTGAAGTACATCTGTTTGAGCAGACCCACAGATTAAAAATTATACAGAAAAGCAAGTAGTCTCAGAAACCAGTGAATTCCTACCAAGGACACACAGTGAGATTCCCAGGGGTGAGGAGTGGGAGAGAGAGCACGTGTCAAGAAAATAAGAGCAAAAAATGTCTCAAAGTTGATGGAAAACATTAAGCAATGAAGTGTGAGGCTCAACAGGTCCCAAGCAGGCTACGTTTAAAGATTCCACACCCAATCCATCAATGCTAACCTGTCAGAAGACAAAGAGAATTTTAAAAGCAGCAAAGAGACAGTGAGTCATCCCATAAAGAGAATGTGAAAAGACATTTAAGGCTGGGGGTGGACACACTCAACAAAAGGCAGATTTGCTAAGGGAGCGCTGTCACAGAGGTGACATTCCAGCCTGTGCAGGGAGCTGGGCTGCAAGGTTCCTAAGGGTCTGTGTGTTCTTACTTGCATGTGACGCTGAGTTTGGGATGCTTCTGCACATGCTCCTCTGACACACAGTAGGACTGCCATCCGAAAAAACAAAGTAGCAGACACTGGACCCAGGAGACATCCACCCTTTTCATCTCCAGCACACACTAGTGATAAAGTTTCATACTGTGTTTATTACGTAGGGAAAATACTTATAACGAGGCCGTCCAAACCTCATGAGCACACACTGAAGGAAGAATTTGGCTGTGAAATCATATGTATTCATGGTACAGGGTTGTGTCTATCCTACATGGGTTTGTCTTTATTTGATCTGATTAAGAATTCACTCTAGAAATTAAAAGTAATCTAGATACGTGTGTTCATAGATTTTGCTGAATTTGAAAAGTTTAGTCATTACTTCGTATTTTTTTGCTTCCACTCTCTTTTGGGACTCTAACAACATAAAGACTTATCTCACAGGTCTCTGAGGTCACTGAGAGCTCATGCTTTCTTAATTTTCACCCTTGCTTTATATCTGTATATTTTATGTAACTTGTTGTTTGTGTCCACTGGTCTCTTTTTATTGTTGTGTTTAATTGTAGAATAATCTTATTCAGTGAGTTTATATTCCATGTATTGCACATTTCAGGCATAAGGGTTGTATCTGGCTTCTCTTATAACTTCTGTATTTTCCCCATTATAGCTGCATTAGGTCCTTGAGCATTTAGTCTTAAGGCCTCAAAGTCTTTAGAATACCAACCCTACCATCTCTTGTATTTCTAAATCTGTTTCTACTATTTCTCTTGGTTATCACATATTTCTCACCCTTCTTACGTCTAGTAAGTTTTCAATGAATGCTGAACACTGTGGGGGCTAATTTCTTAAGCACCTGGATTTTTTTTTTTTTTTTTGTAGTGGTTTAATAAAAATGTCCCCCATCCAAGTACTAACCAGGCCCGACCCTGCTTAGCTTCCGAGATCAGACGAGATCGGGCACGTTCAGGGTGGTATGGCCGTCTGGAGGTAGTGGGAATGGGGGGTGGGCTGGGGGGAAGGGGAGGGGGCAGGAAGGGGGAGAACAAGGGAATCTGTGGCTGTTATGTAGAACTGAATAGTATTGTAAAATAAAAGAAAAAAAAATGTCCCCCATTGGCTCAAGTATTTGAACACTTGGCTCCACTTGCCAGTGGGTGATGTTTAGGGAGGTTATGGAATCTTTAAGAGGTGTGGTCTTGAAGGAGGAAGTACCTCACTGGGGGTGGGCTTTGAGAGCTTATACCCTTACCTCACTTCAGGTTTGTTCTCACCGCTTCCTCCCTGTGGTTGAAGACGTGATCTCTTAGCTTCTTGCTTCATCTGCCTGTGGGCATTCTTCCTTTGCGATTATGGACCCCCCCCCCCCACCTTGGAACTGTAAACCAGAATGAACTCTTCCATAAATTGCCTTGGTTATGCCATTTTATCATATTAACGAAAAATAAATCATATGCTTTCTTGTGTTTCTTTAAAATTTGTTTCAATGTGTTCAGCCACTTGCTGAAATTGCCTGCTAGTCAGCTTGGCTAGTTTGATCTCTAACACTTCACCAGTGTGCCTTGCAGTAAGCTGTACTCTGAGGCTGCCTTAGTCTCCTTCCTAAGACTTGGTTATTTTGATGTTAGTAATGAATTCCCTGAGTATTCAAATGGATTTTTTTAACCCCATTCTGGAAATCTGAAGTGAAAAATATCATCCAGTCTCATATGATTTCTAAGAATTCTGAAATTTTTAGCAATCAGATTTTCCCTTTTTTTTTTTTTTTTGTATAGTTTGGCCATGCTTCACCTTGTCTCATCTGAAACTCAGCAGAATTGTTAACTCTTTGTGTTCTCTCAGCTCCTCTCTGGACCCTTGTTCTTTTTATCATGGTGGCCTTCACCTTCCCCATTTCCAACACCTGTCTCCTTAACTCAGTGTTAAGATTAATTCAGGGTTCTCTTTTCTGGAAAGTACCTCCAGACTGAAAGCTGGAGAATGATAAGGATTATGTCATCAATCTGTCTTTCTCTCCTTCTCACAGTACAGCTCCACACAACCTGGTCAATCTGTAAACAACAATGTGCTGGCGAATTTTATGTCAACTTGACACAAGCAAGCATCACCTGGGAAGAAGGAATCTTCACTGAGAAAATGCCTTCACAGCATTGGCCCATAGGCAAGACTGTAGTGCATTTTCTTAGTGATTGGTGGGGGGCGGGGCTTAGCCCATTGTGGGTGGTACCCCTTTGGGCAGTTGATCCAGGATGCTATCAGAAAAACTGAGCAATCCGTCGTGGAGAACAAATTGGTAAGCACTCCTCCATGGCCTCTGCTTCAGTTCCTGCATTGAGTTCCTGCCCAAATTTCCCTCAGTGATGGAGTATGTATGACCTGTGAGTTCTGAGCCAAAACAAATGCTTTCCTCCCCATATCATTTTTTGGTTACGGTGTTTTATCTCAGCAGTGGAAACCCCAAGATAAGTGGTTTCTCACATTCTTTGTCATGTCCAGAATAGCAACTTCCTATTTATTGTCTTCTATGACTACAGAGACGTTCTGTAATATTATTATATTTCTGTATTTGAAAATTTAATTTTAAACCCATCCCATCCCAAACTGTTTAAACATTATAGGATGCAGGGGCAGGCGGGGTTCCTGAATATGAGGTCATGATTCCTGTCATGCTGCTTTAGAGTCATTTCTGTGGATCAGAGTACTCGTGGGACAATGGGATTGGTTTTAGGCTTCCTAAACACCCAACCTGCAATAGCAAGACAGGCCCATCATAACTGCTGTAAGCCAAGTGAAAAAGAAAACAATGAGAAGGCAGAAATCACAGAAACATGGGAATTCTGAAACCCACAGTACAACATGTTGCCAGATTATTTGTGAAGATTCAGCTGCAGCGCTCCCTACCACTGATGCTCTCTGGCTTTTGTCCACTCTTCGGACTCACGTTTCCATGCTCTCTTTGGTCCACTCTGTGTCTTATTGGTGTTGTTCCATCTCTGGTCCACTCCTTAGATCTTTGGTTCCATGCCATCTTGGATCATCCTCTGAAATCAAAGACCTCCTGTCATTTTCTCTCGTCTTGACCCCTTCCTGCCCCCAAACAATTTCAGTTAATGTAATTCTTTTAAAATTTTTGTCTGAGTTTCACTGGAGTCTATGAACCAAAGCTAGACTCACCAATGTCTTTTTCAGAAGATCCTTTCCACCTTCGGTATCTTCTGAGGTTGGTAAGGCATATAGTTTTCAAATTCTTGCAGAACTTTCTCTCTCACTGAACAATTCCCCGGAGCACTGCTTTCAGATTTCCTCAACTCTTCACAAAGAGTTTCAGTTCTACCATCTGCTTCATCTGTAGATCATGTGTCTCTTGATTGCCCTAGATTGAAACATGCCTGAAAGTTATTTCTTAACCTCAACATTGTTTGTCATCTGGAAAATCTGGGACTAAGAACTGCCTTTGATTTCAAAACTAGCACATCCTGGATTTGAATCCTTTTCAGTCCTTGCAGCTTCTCTCTGTGCCTGTCTGTTTCACCATGAGCAGCAAGTAGAAGCCAAGGAACACATTTAACTGCCTGGCTTAAACTTCTCTCAGAAATCTCCTCCAGCTTAATGGCTGTATTTTACATTTTTCAAGCTACCCTGGGCAACCATATGTTAAGCTTCCCACCACTCTGTAATAGATGTCTTTTTTTTTCTTTCTAGCTTTCAATAACATTTATTCACTTCACTTTTTTTGCTATGTATCATCAGCCACCACTGCTACCCAGGCCTCATCATTGGTCTCAAACAGCACTCACGTTCCCCAATAACCTCCCCTCAATTTCTATTCAGTTTCCCCCATCAATTTGTCCCCCAATGCTCAGTGTAATAGTTACTATTTCAGTGCTATGATGTGCACTCCCACATGTCTTACACATAAGCACACATGCACACACACAAATAAACAGCAATAAATAAAAATCTAAGAAACCTGAGAGTGATAAGAAGATATGAAAAATTTAGCCTGAATTAATTTGCCTGGTGGGGTAAAATGGAAAAATCCCTAGAAAAATACAAGTTAACACACGATGGGAAATAGAAAGAGTATATTTTAGTATGTATTAAAAAGTACTTAACTTTCACCTAGAAATCTCTGAATGAACGTGTCTTAGTCAGGGTTTTGATGACACACTGTGACCAAAAAGCAAGTTGGGAGGAAAGGTTTTATTCAGCTTACACTTTGCTTCCACATTGTTTCCACATTGTTGTTCACCATGAATGAAGTCAGGACAGGAACTCAAACAGGACAGGATCCTGGAGGCAGGAGCTGATACAGAGGCCATGGAGGGGAGCTGCTTACTGGCTTGCTTCCCCTGGCTTGCTCAGCCTGCTTTCTTACAGAACCCAGGACCAGCAGCCTAGGGCTGGGCCCTTCTGCATTGATCACTAATTGAGAAAAGCCTTACAGCTGGATCTCAAGGAGACATTTCCTCAGCAGAGGCTCCTTTTTCTCTGATAACTCTACTTTGTGTCAAGTTGACACACGAAACCAGCCAGTACAGGAAGTTCAAAGTCACATGGATTTACTAATAAATTCCTTTTAAAAAATTTATAAGATGTAACCCAAGACTTGTACAATACAGAGAATTTTTTTCTCCTACACCTTTTATGAGACAAATGCAACTTTAATAAAAACAGAGTTATATCCATCTCTTACAAATATAGACATAAAAATCTCTAATGATATGTTAGACAAATGAACCTGATGATAGATAAGTTGAGGCCATTCTAGGAAAGTAAGACTGAGTTGACATTTTAAAAACAAACACAACCCTACTACCATGACAAGGAGACAGGTGGAATAGGAAAATCTTAATGTAGGCAGAAATAGTTAAAGTTTGTCCCTCTCTGTACTTCCATTTTCCTGAATTCTTAGGAAACCAAGGGTAAAAGATGACAGTGTTTTTCTCTTATGTATCTCAGGCTGGTCCCAAACTGGCTGTGTAGCCAAGGATGACCTTGAACTTCTGATCCTACCACTGCCACCTCTTTGTGCTGGGACTACAAGTGTGTGCCATCACACTCAGCTCAGTTGGTGCTGGGGATGGAACCCAAGGATGTGTGTGTGCTAGGCAAACACTCTACCAACTGTGCTACATCCCTATCCCCAACACTGAAAAACAATGAACATTACAAAACGCCTGTGGTACATCACATCTAGTGGGGAAATCTTGAAAGTCTTTCTACATGGACTGAAATTGACATGGATACTGGCTCTCATGCTTACATCCTGCATTTGACAAGTGGTTCTAGTCATAACAATATATTTTTAAAGGATATTGCATCTGGAGTAAGAAATCATGCTGCCATTATTCATCATCCTTACGGTAAGAAAAATGCAAATTAATATAAAAAATATTTGAGCTAATAATCAAATCTGCAATGTGACTGAATACAAGGTCATTATTTAAAAAAATAAGTATTTTTATCATGTTAAAAATTATATATATATTTGTGTGGGTATGTGCGTGTGAATCCTGGTGCCCATAGAGTCCAGAAGAGGGTGTCAGATTCCATGGACCTGGAGTAGAGGCAGTTGTGAACCACTTGACATGAGTGCTGGGAACTGAACTTGGATTCTCTCCTGCTGTGGGATGGTCTGTATGTCAAATTACTCTGATTGGTCAATAAATAAAACACTGATTGGCCAGTGGCTAGGCAGGAAGTATAGGCAGGACTAACAGAGAGGAGAAAAGAAAGAACAGGAAGGCGGAGGGAGTCACTGCCAGCCACCGCCATGACAAGCAGCATGTGAAGATGCCGGTAAGCCACAAGCCACGTGGCAAGGTATAGATTTATGGAAATGGATTAATTTAAGCTATAAGAACAGTTAGCAAGAAGCCTGCCATGGCCATACAGTTTGTAAGCAATATAAACCTCTGTGTTTACTTGGTTGGGTCTGCATGACTGTGGGACTGGCGGGTGACAAAGATTTGTCCTGACTGTGGGCAAGGCAGGAAAACTCTAGTTACACTCTCCAAGAACAGTACATGGTCTTAACCTCTGAGCCACTTGTTCTGGTTTCCTTTTTGTTGTGATAAACCATTTGGACCAAAAGGAAATAGGAGGAGAGAAGTGTTATTGCATCTTAGTTATCTTTAGAAGATAGTAAGAGGTTACTATCCTTCATCAAGGGAAGCCAAGACAGAAACTCAAGCAGGAATCTGAAGGCAGGGACCAGGCAGAATGCTGCTTACTGACTTGCTCTCCAACTCATGTGCAGCTAGCTTTCTTCCCCAGTTCAGGACCACCCACAGTGGACTGGGCCATCAATCATGCTTGCAGGCCTACAGGCCAATCTGATTCGGACATTCCCTCAACTGACATTCCCTCAGATGACTCCAGGCTGTGAGAAGTTGACAGCAGAGACTAACTAGGAAACCATCTCTCCAGCTCTTAATTTATATTTTTCTACACCATCCAGAAACAGACAGAAAATTATATTTTATTCATTTTTCTACCCATACTGGGGATTTCTACCCAATGTAAGTCCTCACACATACTATGCACTCTACCACTGAGGTACAGTCCCAGTTCTGAGAGATTTTAAATCACATAATTTATAATATCAAGGTAAATATTATATTTGGTTTTAATTCTACAAAAATTGGCTTCATTGCAATGTTGGCAATAACAAACGCCAATTTTCGTTCATTTGTTTGTTTGTTTGGGACAGGGTCTCACTATGTAACCTTGGCTGGCCTGAAACTCACTATGTAGACCAGGCTGGCCACAAATTCAGAGATTTGCCTGCTTCTGCCTCCCAAGTACTGAGATTAAAGGTGTGCACCACCATGCCCAGCATGGAATGTAAAATTTTAATTCTTGGAAAGTTAAAAATTGTAAAGATCTCAATAGTTTTTGTTTAATTTTTTGACAGTTTCATGCATGCATATTATGCATTGTGATCCCAGCCCCCCCCCAATTCCCCTCTGTTGACCCCTTTCATTCCTGCTGATCTCTTCTTCCCAGCTTGTTTCTTCTCAACTTTCGTGTTTTTTGAGTGTATAGGGTCTTACAAGGCAACCACATCTGCAGTGTGTTTATATCCAGAAGACGGCTTTTTATAGCATCCTGCCCCATCCATCATCTGGCTCTTACAATCTTTCCATCCCCACTTCTGTGATTTTTTTTTTCCTGGAGGCCAGGAGGGGAAGATAGAGATGCTCTATTTAGGGCTGAACATTCAATAGTCACTTATTCTCAGAACACGGAAATTTCAAATCTCTGTATTAACCACCTCCCACTACAAAAGGAAGTTTCTCTGGCCAAGGCTAAAAACAGCATGAGGCAAGGGATATAGACATAAATATTTAGAAGGCAGTTTGGATACATGTCCATTTAGTGTACCATCAGAAGTACATTCGTGTCTGCTACAGATGTGTCCAACCAGAAGCATTTGAGCCAGTTTACAGTACCAGCGGTGAAGGAAGGGCTCAAATCCAATGAGGAAAGGGTTGGTTAGCCCCCCCACCCCACTCCCCGAACAATCAGAACCCAAGTGAGCACATCCTGTTTGACAAGTCGGTATGGTGGTATGCAGAGCCCAAAGGTGAATAAGTGTATTAATGACTTTTCTGTTGTTGTGATATAATCTCAAGACCGAGGTGACTTGTAGAGTGAAGAGTCTCGTTGGGCTTATGGTTCCAGAAGGTCAGAGTCCATGACAGGAGGGATAGCAAGGGACAGGCGTGGCGGGAGCAGAAAGCTGAGAGCTCGCATCTTGAAGTATAAGCATGAAGCAGAGAGAGCAAATTAGAAGTAAGCTATACATTTTATTTCCCAAACCCATCCCCAGCAACATACTTCCTTCTGCAAGGCCCCCGCCATCAGTTGGGGATTGTGTTCAAATGTCTGAGACAAAGCGGGCATTTCTCATCCAAGCTACTATAGTAAGGATGTTGGAACCTTTCTCCCCCCAGATAACCTGAGAAGCCCCTCTGGCTTTATGCTTATTAAGGATCAGGGAGGAAGCTTCCAGTCCGATTTATCTGTATCCTGCATCCAAAGTGTGTGGTGTATTTAGCCGCAGAGTCTTACCATCTAGTTCTGGTAGATGAAGGTATTAATATTTTTAATTAATTATAAATTAATTATATTTTCATTAATCATACATTAATCAATTAAGTAACTAATTAAGTAATTAATTTATACATTCACTATTAATCCAGTAAAAATCCCATCAGGAATGGGGGTGGGGTGATAAGTAACATTTGATTCTAAAATTCCTATGGAAATGCGAAGGGCCAAGAATATCCAAAGCACTTAAAGGGGAAAATCAAAACTGGAAGATTCGTAATGAGAACAAAATGTTCTCATTCTAAAGAGAACATCAGGACCAGCACAATGTTAGGTAAACTAACCAATGAATCAGAAAGCCTTCACATAAATAGTTACCTGGTCTGTGAAAAAGCCTATGATGTGTTAGAGGAAAGAATTATATTGCCAGCAAAAATTGCTAGATAAATTGACCACATTATAAAAAAAAATGACCATTATAAAAAATTAACCATAAAAATTTAAAAAACACATTTTTTAAAAAAAAATACCATTTTCAAATATCATTGCTCAAAATTTAATTACAGAGCTAAATGGGGAAAGGAAGCCGGCTTTTAAAGAACACGTAAGTTTACTTGATTACCCCAGTCTGAGACGTCTTAGGAGCCAGCAAGATGGCTTAGTGAGCAAAGTTTCGAACCCATGGGGTGGAAAGAGAATATCGACTCCCATAAATCATCCTCTGTCCTTCACACGAATGGTGTGTCATGACTGGACATGTGCTGGCATGAGACCATGCACACATGAACACACATGAGTGTAAAAGATGTCTTAAACATGACTGGGAAGGGCTGGGAATGTAGCCCAGTTGGTAGGTTGCTTGCCCTGCATGCCCAAAGCCCCGAGTCAGAGTTCCAGCACCTCAAAAACTGTGTGGTGTCACAAACTTGGTTTTGCTTTGTAGGCAAGGCTGATATGAAACTTGATACATAGCCCAGACAGTCCTCAGCTTCACGATTATCCTAGTTTCCTGAGTGCTGGTCCTATGGTGTACACCACCAGACAACTGCTGTATTTTGTAATCTGGTTGCTGGTTACACGGCTCTGTCTAGTTGTGAAAACTCACTGGGACTTACAATTAGGACACAAAAATGCTGGTTTTCAATAAAGGTTAAAATAACAGAAAAATTAGCATTAGGGTAGAATTAGATTAGAAAGTAGAGATTGAAGAACACCATAGTAATAACATTCTAAAGAAATTATAACTTGAATTAATTTTTAGTGCATTATGCCTGGTAAAATGCATTGCTTAGTACAATCTAAGAAGCCAATCCTGTACTGATGGGGGTGACAGAGGAGATTATTTTGCCTTTTTAGTCATAATAAATATTCCAATAAAGGCTAAAAAAAATTATAAAGGGCTCCAGTTAAACATTCAAGGCCTGCTTTGGAGTATAAGGTTAAAGTGATTCATCTCAGAATGTACTTCTGGGTGCGGGTTAATCACGTTTTAATGTGTTCCACTTGTTATGTTTCTGTGCTAGGGAAAAGTCTATGTATATTTATTTTTAAATTCAATTCTCTCTTACCTATAGCAAAATACTCTTTGCCTTTCTGCATCTAAGAACACAGGTAATTTTCACTTAAAATGGGAATAAAATTGCCTATGTGTTTTAGGTCCTAGAAAGCGGGCTTTATTTTGACAGGGCATCAGTTCCATAATTCATACCTCACATCATTGCATAATTCAAACTCCTTATTTAACAATCCCCATATTTTAACAGTATCCTCTTTGCTAAATTTCATTCCATAGCAACATGATTTCTAGCTTTCCCCACAGCCATTTTGCTTAGGGAATATGTCTCAAAGGTTTTTCTTCAGATTATAAACTACCAAAAAGGGAGGGGGCTTGAAGATCTGTGAACACAGGGGACTTTTCTAGGGCACCAACCATATATTGCATGCTCAACAATTACCTCTCAAATGTCCTTAGGGGGCTAGGGGAGGATCTAGGCATCAGACATATGATAGAATAATCTGTAGGCAGGCTCTCTCTCTCTCTCTCTCTCTCTCTCTCTCTCTCTCTCTGGGGGGAGATGAGTAGGTGAGGGTGCTAGTATGGGTAGGTGTGCATGGGTGGGTGGCTTGAATATGGATGGAGATGTGCACGTACGTGTGTGTGTGTGTGTGTGTGTGTGTGTGTGTGTGTGTGTGTATGTGCAGGTGCCTGCAGATGCCAGAAAGAGGGTGTAGGATCCCCTGGAACTGGAGTTACAGGTGGTGTGAGCTGCCCAACCTGAGTACGGGTGCTGGGCACTGAACTTTGGTCCTCTGTAAGAGTGCTCTTAACTGATGAGCCATCTCCCCAGCCCCACATTAGATGCTTAATTTAAGGAACCTGGGTTCAAATCCTAGCTATGTAATGCACTAGCTTTGTAAAAGTGAGTTACAACCTTGTCTGTGGGTAAATTTGCTCACTGTGAACTAAGGCTATCCGTCATCCCTTTCTCCTGCCCTTGTTAGGAAAGCCAGGTGGTACAGAATGTGAAAACCACTGAGACTCATCCTTGGCATGTGGGAAGGATTCAACCCATGTAGCTGTTACCATAAGAAACAGTGTCTAGTGAGTTCTGCCAACTCGTCTATCGACAAAGCACCCCACCAACACGATGACCTGCTTTGTTCTCTGTCTTGGCCGCCCATCCGGGCGGTCACTGGGATGAAAATGAATGATGAGAACCCTCTACTAGGACGATCGCATGGGAAAGACTTCAGTCCATCTAACTCTTGCCTTTTGCCAACGAGGACACTGACGCCCAGGGCGGTTGCCCAGTTTAAACCCAAACTCCCACGGCTTACTAGGGACACAGCAGGTCTGGGGTCTTTCAGTTTAGCTCCAACGCTGTTCTGTGGAGGCCTGCAACAGGGAGCATTAGCCCATCTTCTTGTCTGGCTCACGTTTGACTCCCCCAAACAGCACGAGTACCCCATAGCGCTCATCCTAGGCACTGGGCGGGGGTGCGGCTTGCTAAAGGATGTCTATTTCTAGCCTTTGTGGACGGCCTACTCCCTGCAAATTCACTCAGGCTCACAGACTGCCGCGGCTGCCTTTGAGACACTTTCCAGGCTGTTGCTTGGTGGTTGCTATGACAACCAAAAAATGTAATGGAAATAGAGTTTTCTGGAGGATTATGCTGGTGGAGGCTTTAAAGACAGATTGCAGTTATGACTTTAAAGCTTAAAGAATATCAGTGAAGTGTGCTGGCACACAGTAGGTATACTGTGACACCGTGGGAAGAATGACGGCAGGCCCGTCATTGAGCTGGGAGATAGACCAGCAGAGATCTGAGCCACTACAGTGGATGTCTGAGGCCCCTTGGAACAGCTTCACTTGCCCCTTCCTTGAGAAATGATGGCAGCGAATTTCCATAATTAAAGCCATGCTGTGTGGGAAATGACTTATCACCAGAATTACCAGGAAGGCTTGTCAAACCGCAGATTGCTGGGGATCCATACTCAGGGTTTCAAATCACTGCATATACTACATCACTAACAACACAGATTTCTATGTGTATGACACATAACCAATAACACATATTTCTAACAAGGGTCAGCTGCTCCCGCTGATGGGGACAAAGCACTGTGCCCCTAGTGACACTTCAGAAACCACTGGGTTAAACTATAAGGTCCTTTCTGCCTGTGAACTAAAGCCAAATCTCCCATAATGCTGGATTCAACCCTGCCGCACAACCTCTTTGTATTAATTTTTAAGTATTTCAAGAAGTGTTCAACATCTCTAGCCTTCAGGAAAATACAAACTAAAACTGCCTTGGGATACCACCCCAACCCCATTCAGAATGGCTGCCATCCAGACACCCAACAGATGTTGGAGAGGATGTGGAGAAAGAGGAATCTTGATTCACTGCTGATTAAAGTATAGACCATTACAGCCAAACAGGCTACCATGTGACCCAGCTGTACGACTCCTAGGCATGTGCCAAAGACCTCTGCATCCCATCAGAGAGACACTTGCACATCTATGTTTATTGCTGCTCTATTCACGATAGCAATGGAATGGAACCAGCCTGGCTGTCTGTTAACTGGTGAGGCATACAGAGAAGGTATGGGATATTGCTCAGCTGTAAAGAAAACGAAATCATGACATTTGCGGGAAAATGGATGGACCTGGAAAGAATATTACGCAAAGTGACCCAGACTCAGAAATAAACCAGATGTTCTTCCTCATAAGCAAGCCCTAGCCCATAATGTATACATGTACACAGGATGACAAATATAAGTGGAGGGTATAATCTAATTTTCAGGAAGGGGACCAAGAGAGGGAAATACTGGGCAATTAGGAAGAATGGAACTCAGACAGAAGGACATAAGTCATAAAAGATGATATAAAATGGTTTTGTTTTTGAAGTTTCAACTGTGTCATAGGTTTTTTTTTTCTCCATTGTGGATTTGTGAATTCAACTTTCTGTGTATTGAAGTAGAAAGAACTATATATGCATTCTGAAAGATCCAGCATGCATTGTTCTCTTGAGGCAGAGGTTGTGGAAGTCGGCTTTATTTTAGCATCACTGACCCTTAGCACAACATGAAGTAGCAGTGATCTGTCACTGACATCTGTCACATTGACCTACTTAGAGGTGATTTTAAATAAAATTGTTCTTGGATTTTTTTTTTTAAACTGAAAAGAGTTCCCCCTTTGCTTCTATTTAAAACTATATCAAATCATTCTACCATTGTGTGCTTTAATATGGAAATTGTATTGTTATACATAAATTATAGATTAATGAAGAATTTTATAATATTTATGCCATTATTGGAGAAAAGATTCTAGAAAAATCTCCAGGCTTTCACTTGAAGTGGAGAAACTTTGGGACCAAGAAAGGGAACAAGTTGCCTCAATGATGCGAGGGGGCTGAGACCTAGACCTTGGTCTCGCCTCTATCCCCAGATCACACTATCCCCAAAGGCAGCCCAGGTGAGCTTCCTGCTTGCTTAAAATGACCCATACACCCTGTGCTCTCGCTTGTATGCACCCTCAGGCTAGATCTCCCTCCCCCCTGTCCCTGTCCCTCTCCCTGTCCTCCCTGTCCCCTTGTGTGCACCCTCAGGTTAGATCTCCCTCCCCCCTGTCCCTCTCCCTGTCCTCCCTGTCCCTGTCCCCTCCTTTCTCTCCCCTCTCCCTCTCTTAATTAACCGTTGGAATAAATATACTTCAGAGAGTGATCTAAAATGGCAACCTCAGCGAAGAATAACATTTTCCAAGAGAGCTGGGCCCAGCGCAGCAGCCAACACCCATTTCGTGGGAGTGACTCTCTGGACCTGTTTTTCTGAATTTTACAGGCCTGTTTTTCTGAATTCTTGTCAAATTATTAGTAAATATCCATGAAATAATATTGACAGCAGTAGCTGATCTCATCAGTGTAGGATGTCTACGAGACCAGTATGTGCTTTGAACTGCTGAGCCATCTCTCCAGCCCCTCAAAGCCCTCCAAACACACACACACACACACACACACACACACACACACACACACACACACACACACACACACACACACATCAACAAGCTGATGTTTCAATTAAGAAATGACACCTCTCAGGAGGTTTAAACCTTCCTTCCACCCAGAGACTGGTGTTGGGGCATCCCCGCAGAACGGAGACCTCAGGGGTGCTGAATTTAAGCGTTTGTTAACTTCTGCACATTTACCAGCTTCAGTTCTGTTTAACTTAGCCCCAGGACACTCCCTTCCAGGGCTGGAGCAGGGTAGTCATGTGGTCCCTCCTTGCCAGGTTGCCTGCATGAAGTTTTAGTATAAATACCAGGGCCTTCCTGCTGGCAGCTCTTTGTGGGGGCTGGCCAACAAGGCTCCATCTTCACACCCACTTTTCCTGGCCCCTGTAACTGGGAAGCACTTTCCTGGGCCTGACGCGTCTCAGCTGAGCAAGGCTGGCGTGCGTCCCCGCCTCCTACCAGGGGACCATCCTGGATCCCTCCCCGTGATGTCAGCGGAATCCTGAGCTGGATTGAGGGAAAGGCCCAGGATCTCCCATAGAGGAGGCCATATGGGGTGGACCCAGGGGTGGCCGCCCGGGGCCGGGAGCTCCAGCCTCGCGTCCCCGGGCGCCGCCCCCGTGTCCCGCCCGCGCCACGCTCCGCCCCGGTCGCCGCTCGTCCCGCGTGGGAGCCGACCCGGCTCAGCCTGATTTACGGCTCTGCTGAAAACCGCTCGAGCGGCTCCCGCAGCATCAGCACCGGCGGCTGCAGCGGCAGCAACAAGTCGGGTAAGTGGGCTCGGCTGGAGCCGTGCGCCCGCGCCCCCTGCCCCACGGACACACGGGGTGCTGGTCCCGGCTGCGCAGCGTCACGGGGAGTCGGAATGGCCGGCTTCCCCGCAGCCACCTGCACGAACTCGCGTGAGCACGAATCCACGCAATCACCAACCAGAGCGGAGGGCTAGGAAAGCGGGGGACCCCAGGCAGGGGCTACCCAGCTTGCCCAGCTCTGCACAGGAAATCGCAGCCCTTTTTGCTAACCTGTGCCCCGGGTTTCCGCTGCGCGGGTGGAAGCCTGGTGCTGGGGAGTGCGTGGTTATCCTATCTTCCCCATGCAAACATGCCTCCCTTCCCATTGCCGCTCTGGAATCCTCTCTTCGTATCCATCCCTGCACCCTTCGCCAGCCTCTTCAGCCCTGGGCTGGGCCAGGGTTTGCATCCTGTTAAACATCCCAGCTCAGCACCGGAAGGTTCCCCTTTGCTCGGGTCCAGAGACTTAGTAACCTGGAAAATGTGCCTGCCTGGCCAAACAGGGCACCATTTCCATCTCAGCTTCTAGGTGCAGTTGAGGGTGTAACACAGACTCTTCACCCTAAGATGCTATCCGAGCTCCTTCTCTCTGGGACCCGGTGCTCATTACCGTTCTTGGAGGAAGTGAGTACCGGGCCCCTTGCAACATTGGGTTGTATAGTCATCTGTTGCTAGGGCAAAGGTGAAGAATTTGCAAAGACAGCAAGTACTTCCTGTTTTTGGAGGAGTTATGCTGGCTGATGCCCACCTGGTTCCAACACTCTAGAAGTTGTCGTGCTGAAAACAGCATCCTAGGCAAGGCAGCTCCACCTAGAACATTCTATTATCGTCCATGGCTCTGTCTATATCAAATGATAATCTGACGTTTTGGGTTTTCACATTTCAGCGGTGTTGGATCGTTGTTGTTATTATTGTGTTGATTTATGTCACCACACCAGTAATTACAAATATTAAAGTTACGGGCAGACAAGATGGCTCAGCAGGTAAAGGCATGTGTCACCAAGCCTGATCACCTGAGTTCAATCTCCAGTACACACATGGCCGATGAAAAGGACTCATGCACACAAGTTGTCTTCTGACGTACACACACGGGGTGGGGGTGGGGGGATGCTATTTAAAATAAAAAATAAAAAATACCAAGCAAAATGTGAGGTTGAATTTTTTTAAGCTCATGGTGTGCTTAAAGCCACTGTGCTTTGCTAGATCCATCGACCCCAAACTTGAGAAAAGACTGCCAAGCTGGCTCTCTTAAGACCTATTCACATGGGATGCATTTCCATGTAGTATGCCAAATTCAGGAGGGCAAAATACTTGAGTTCTGTTTCTGGACCCCTGTCCTCCCTCCCTGGGGCTTATTATTTCATCTCCTTGCTCTGTTTTTCCTTTTCATCTGCATAAGTGTGTTAGCCACCTTCACTCAGCTAGGTTGGAGTTGGATTAGACATGTTTCTGCCCCTGTATGCCTTGACATCTGCATCCCACCTGAAACGATACTGTACAGCATAGAGGAGGGCAGATGTGGCTGCATTTAGCGTCAGGGTTTAGGTTTTAATTTCAACATAAAAATCAACTCTAAATACTATATGCAATAGTTGCTTAAAACCCAAGAAACCTGAACTGGTGTAGTCACTATGGAAATTGGCATGGAGATTTCTCAGGAAAGTAAAAATAGAAGTATCATATGGCCCAGCTATACCACTCCTGGGCATATCCCCAAAGGACTCTATATCCTACTACAGAGACACTTGCTCACCCATATCTATTGCTGCACTGTTCACAATCGCTAAG